ATGTCTGTCTTGTCTAGCATACCATTTTAACTATAAGTTTGTTGAAATAGGATATTCATATGACTTTTAATTTGATTTTGAATGCTTCTTGCTAAGAAAATTCTTCATGATTTGTGTTAATCGCTCCAAGATTCATGACAAATTACAAAATTTGTTGATGGTGTATCAATTATAAATTAGTTTAGTTAAGCATTGATCATTTTCACATTTTAACAAATCAATCTAAAATCAAAATGATTCATTTGAGACATGAATGAGTAGAAATGTACAAATTTGATCAGATCTTAGAGATTTGAGTTGTATGGTTGAACCTTTTCATCTCATGATTAAGTTAGAAGTCTCCAGTAAAAGTTTAGATATCAAGAAAGCTTGGGAGCTATTCATCATATGTCGAACAATAGGATGACTTATCTAAGTTTAATAATTCAGCCTAATTAACTTAGATTACGACAAAAAAAAAATTGTTTATTCAAATGTAAGATGTTAATGAGCAACATATTATGTTATAAGTTTCAATCTATAAGAACATGTATTTTTCTCTTTTTTTTTTTTTTTGTGATCATTTATGTAGCGCAACTCAAGCCGACCCAAATTCTATAAGTGTGAAATTCAATTATGAAGGTGTCAACATGAAACCTCTGCACACCTCTTTTTAATAAACATTAGAGCTTTCAACTTTACTTACTTTTTTTCTTCTATTCTTTGTTCTTCTTCTCTTCTCAAAAAGCTCTTGTATTGTTGATGTGAGTCAACTAACGATTAAGAATTCCACAGCGTCAAATGTTTGGTGTGTGTGGATCATGCTATAAATTAGGAGACGAACTTTTTGTGAAACTAAACCACGTAATAGAGATGACTCATCATATATGGAGTGCACTATATAATTTTACATATGAGATGAATGAATACGAGAGTATGAAGACAATGATTAGATAAAACCTAAAGTGTTTGCCAAGGGTGAAACCTTATGTTGAGATGTCATTTCATTCTATAGAATCTATTTATACTTTTGACTCCAATAGTAGATGATGAGACTTACTTTTCAAATAGTGAACTTACTTCTTCCTTCGATCATAGGGGAGACAGAGTCTAAGTTATGTTAAAGAGAAAGATGTAATTAGAAAATGGCTTCTCCAAGAAGAACATGTAGGTTAAAGAACAAGAGAAGTTTAAAATTTCAGCTTTGACATCATACAATGGAGTTTCTTTTTCCATCATCCACATAGCTTTATTGTAGTCAAAATTTTCTCAAATAAAGGTTAATGATGTGCTATAATGACATATATCTTCATAGCGCTCAGAAATTTTGCTCTACAATGGTTCACCAATTTACCCTTAGTGAAAAAAAAAAACATTACATGTCAAGTTCAAGAGAATCAAAATTTTGAAATTTGATAGCGCGCAGAGGTCATACAAAATTTACAAGATATTATGTGAATGCACTAGGAGTCTAGGGACTAAGTTGTTACCTAACTAAAGTAATAGTATGGTGAGCCTAAATTCTCTTAGCCTGTGCTTCCTACAATAGATAATAGGACGAGGTTCATGCTTGTTCCCAAATCATATAGAGTGTTGTCAAACTACTTGCATCTAATTATGCACAATACAATAAAACCACAGGAATCATTTAATTTTATGGGCAATTTTCATTGTTGCTAAACCCCGGTAGTGTTTCAATCTATTAATATCAATGTTTCATAATCCACCATTTTTTTCTACAATTTAGTTTAAGAAATTTACATAGCTCATCATTTTCTCTTGTGTATCCATGAATATGATAGTGATAAAAAGATATTTAAAGGTATTAAAACACTTATGAGAATTGTTTGCCCAAATTTTTAAGGCATTTTGGGTACATTAATGGCAGAATGTATGGTGGTGAATTTATTCAGAAATACCTTTGATTTAGGTTGTGACTGTTGACCTCACTTTCGATCAACCCTTCATTCGAACTCAAGACAAACTCGAAACTAAAACACATCAATCTCAAATCCAAAACTTATTTAATTTGAGCTAAGAACGACAAGTTCATGGTTCACTTGAGCTTTTAGTAAGAACTTTAACTTGCATGAGATAGGACCCACATATTCACCTCATTTGCCTTTAGCTTGGAGACAGCATTTAGCTTGGAGATAGTAAGCTAAGATTGTCATATGTCAGAAATCCTTGGGTGTTCCTTTATCGGGATGGGCCAATGCTATCGTTCTGATCAAGATCACATGCTGACAAGCTCGTGCAGACGAAACTACCCACAAAAGCATAAGCGCCCACACAATTGTGTGCCCATCAAAGTAGAAACCCACGTGTGCACACTCATTTACGACCTTGAGCATGCATGCCTTTATGCCACACCTCCTTGGACCGATGTGATAATGCCAGTTTTGAGCATAGCCATGCTAGGAAGTTCTAGGGTGTGGTTGCACTTGATGCTCACATGGTTACCACCTCGAGCCACCATGAATAAGACATCAAATTTATACGTGTTTCATCATCAATGATCCATAGGAGATCTCACCATTGGAGAAATCATTTTCATTAATCCCTACCCCAATAGACAGTCGTTAGTTTCGATCAGTGGGTAATAACGACTCTCTCCATAAATAGGCCCCATCTTACCCACCTTTGAAACAACACTGAGGGGCACGAAATAATTGGATTAAGCACCTCCTTCTTCAATGAACACCTGCAGCCCTCCTCTCCAGTATGATTCTTCCCTCCTAATCTTTTCATATTTTGTATATTTTTTTTAAGTTTAGTTAAGTTCAGGTTAATCCAATTAAATAGCCTTGGATTAGACTTAGGTTTGGGTCTAGCTTAGCTAGACATAAATTAGCCTAAGCTGACCTAACACAAACCCTAACCAGACCCTAGTCCAACCCAGGTCCAACCAAGGTCAACCCATGTTCAACTCAGGACAACCTAGGTCCAACCAGGTCAACACAAGTGCAACTTAGGGCTAACTTAGGTTCAACCTTGGTATAACACAAGTCAAACTAGGTCAAACCCATGTGAACATAGGTCAACCCAAGCCAACCCAAGCAAGCCCAAGTCCAACCCAGGTCTATGTAAGGTCCACTTAAGTCAACCCAAGTCCATCCCAGATCCAACTCTGTCCAACCAAAGTCTAATCCATGCAAACCAAGGTCCATGTTAGATCAATTCAATTCTAACCCAGGCGAACCAACTTTTGCCCAAGTAAACCTAGGTCTAACTTAGGTCAACCCAAGGTCCAGCCAGGTTCAACCAAGGTCCAACCGAGTTTAAACCAGGTTGAGCACAAGTCCAACCTAAGTCCAACCCCGGTCAACCCAGACCCAACCTTGATCCAATTTAAGTAAAACCAAGTTCAACCCAGGTCCAAAAGAGGTCCAATTGAGGTCAATTTAAGTCCAACTTAGGTCAAGCCAAGTCCAACCTATGTCAACTTAAGTCCAACCCAGGTTCAACCCAAGTCAAACCCAAGTCAACACATGACCAACCTAGGTCCAACCTAGTTTCAGCCCAGGTCAAACCTAAATAGAATCCAATCAAACCAAACCAAACCAAGCTCCATTTTAGCTAAACATAGCTAAACCCTAGCTAAACCTCAGCTCACCCCTAGCCTAAGTCTAAACCAATTTAAACCTTAAGGCATGCCTTGTATTATTCTATGTGTATTAAGTTAAAAATTCATGTTTCATAGTCCATATTTTGTATCATGTGTATTTATCTTTCAAAAATAAACATAAATAGTGAACAAATGGATAAAAAAAGGAGAAGAACCTTTCACATGATGGTTCCCATCATGAACATTTGATAAAACTTGAGGATAAATTAAAACTGAGAATGCCAACCTAGAGAAGTAATTGGAAATCCTTACACTTATGAGAACCTTGATATTCATCTCAATTAAAAACCTAAGAGCTAAAACAAATCACGAACAAAATATTGAACTCCAAGCAAAAATATAAAATCCACCAACAGAAAGAATAAGAACTAAACCTAGGAAAATGTGACATGAACTCTAGGTTAGTTAACTTAGACACAAGAACTAAGGATCACACACATACCTTAGGCTAGTCCAAATATAAAATCTAGGTTAGTCAAGTAAGCACCCTAGTTAATGCTAAGAACTAAGATAGGTAAAGCAAACAACATCACCCTCTGAAACTAATAGAAATGCCCTAGTACAAAGTAACCTATGGTTACCAACAAAGACATTTCAAACTTCCTTAAAACTAAGAAAATCTCCACAACCCATGATCGTGGTGCTCAAGAAGGATTTCAAGTTATAAGGTTGGTTGTAGTAGAAGGACATCAACTAGGTTGTTAGATAATCGTGTGCATCTTGATCGAGGGCGTTATTCTTAAAGCCTAGGTTAGTCCACCTATTTAGATTTTATAGAGAACTAGAGGTGTTCTAAAATTAGGACCTCATTTTCATCTAGAAATACTTTCTATATGACCCTATTATTCAGGCTCCAATAACTTCAGACCAATCAAACCAATCATTCTTGATCTTATCCTTAGACCTCATCTGATCAATCAAAACTCGCTACTAGTATTTTTCAAACTCTTCAATCACCATCCTTTGAGTAAACCTTCCTCCTTTGATGATTAAATCCCTTTATTTGGCCTTTTAATGACACAATATCATCGAACTATAAGTCTCATCCCATTTGAGATTAATTCTTCCAAAACTCTAAACCTACATCCTTCTTCTCTGACACTTCAACTTCGAAAGCCTAACCTTTTAATTTGGATAGTATAAAACATTATATTAATCGAGAATTCTCTTTAAGCCTCAAGTCTTTGAGAATGTAATCAATTATGAGGGCTTGCCCTTATAGGGAATCCAACATCAGAATAAAATAAATATTCTCTTACACCTGTAAGGTAAGGTAAGGGACAAACCCTGATTCCGTAGTTTAATCCAGAGCCTTTAAGAAAACTAAAACATAAGAGGTACATATAACAACAATATTAATCTGTTTCTTAAAGGATATAGTGTATTTCTTATTCAAATATGCATACACACGGCTAATGTACTTGAGAAATCAATACGAGCGAAATAAGAATCCAGAGCTCACTCAATCAATCTGTTACATCATTTCACAACAATGATAGTTAAAGAAAACAAGCACCAAAATAGCTCACTATTCAAGATGCCCGCCTTCCGCACCACAATATTAACAGAAAGAAAAAGACAACACATACAAATTTGTCTGATTTCCAACCTGAACTGTAACTCAAAATAAATTGAGGCCACTATTTATTACTCAGAATAATGCAATAACAAAGACTTACCAAGAGATTCTTCGTAGCCACAACTCTGGGTTGAGGAAACAAAGCAGCAAACAGATAACATACCTATTATAGATTTGATGAGTACAGCCTTACCTGAAACTGGATAGAACAAGCCTTAGAAGGGTTATCCTTCTTATAGGCGTTCTTCCATTGAATCATAGAAAGTGAAGTTCAAGGATGTGAGTTCCAGTGCAGAGAATCATGCATAACTATGTTATAGTCACACTGCTAGAAGTTTTATTACTTCTCAGATCGATGGCTCTGATATTGTCAAAAGAAGGCCTTCTACTTGTATTAAGTAGATTATGTGTCATGGAATAGGGGTCAAAATATAAGCCCAGATAGGATATAAGTGGATCAGCACGAGATTTGTCAATAACAAACCTCAAAAACTGAGCTTTTACAACAGGAAATAGTACAAGTCTTTTATATCCGATGGTTGTTCCATTTGCTATCCTTTTCCACACCCCTCCTTCTGTGAGAACATCAGCATGGAACTCAACTACACGCTGTCCCAATTGAATTGGCTCCTGGGCTTGCAACACATTGAAAGACTTCAATTGTCTGAGGTCCAGGATTAATGTCCAATTAGCTTGGAGCTCTTTGGGATTGGGAGCCCAATAGGAGTAAATACCTTCTTCAATAACATTTGAAGGGGTGAAATGAGTTTCATTAGGACCTCCTCGTGTGTTAGTGGCAGAAACAATGGCATCCTTAGCTAAATTATGCGAGAAAATGGTTTGTCTCATTGCAGTAAAATTCTGAAGAACCTGAATATCTTCATCAGATATGAGACCAGATGAATTTGGGGGAACATTTAGTATAAGGAGACAGTTTCTGCCCACTGAAGTGTAGTATTTGTCAAGTAGGGTTATGGGAGACTTGGGGTTTTGAGAACTGTGCCAAAACCAACCGGTCCTGATGGATAAATCGCACTCAGGAGCAACCCAGTCATGCCCATATGGATCCCCCTCAAGAGAATACCTAAGCATAAAAATAGGAAGAGAAAAACTGAAATTAATTTCTCTCATTGACTGAACATAAATATAAGGATGTAGGATGAAGATCTGAAGCAGCAATGTGGCAAAAAATGAAGAAGATATTAAGCAGAATCGTCTGATGAAGCTTTCGTTACATTGGTAAGTAGTCAAACATAAATGGTAAACAGTGAAGCTAAGGGTTGCGATGAAAGCAACCAAAGTCAAAAAAAATAATAGCACGCATTAAATGTTTCATATAAAACATAAAGTTGAATGGTATGCAGTTGTAACAGAGCTCTAATTTGAGACAAAATTACATGGAAACCAGTGAAACATGATGGTGCATGCAACCTTGATTGGCTTCATGAATCCTCATTTGTCATTACTTCTTGATGATTTATGGCTTCGGTATGAAACTTATTCTACACAAAGCAAATTGAATAACTTCGTTGCATATTGCCTAAGGTCTACTCTACCATCATAATACTCCAACCTTAATTTTATTTACACATCCAATGTGTATATTTTCTAAACTTTATTATACAACAGACGTTAGTAGGAAGTAATGGAGTACAACCAAGAATATATCACAACCCAGTTAACAGTTAATGTATAAGTCAGATATCTTCTTCCTACATATTAAGTAATTCAATTGAAATGGCAAGATGAAATGTGCTAAATGCAAAATTGATAAAAAAAAATTAAACAACTAATGCATAGAATATAGGGCCATAGAGTCTAGCAAGAATAACCCAATCATAATTCATGCTTTTTAGGCAACTTCAAAGTCTTCAAAATAAAATTCTCCAAGGAGAGCGATTCGAACAATAAATTCAATGAAGATTTACATATATACGACCCAATTCCTATGTATTTACATATGTAGTACCTAAACTTCAATTTTTACATACGGATCATCTTACCTATGCATGAAAAGGTGTGATTCACTTTCTAAAAGTTAAAAAGATGATGATTTTGATGAGATATAAAAGATTTGGGTGGTATAAATGTAAAGAAGAAAAGTTTAGGTGTTAGATATGTAAATACACAAGAATAGGGTGGTATGTAAGTAAACGCCACATTATTATATGGTGTGTATGAGGCTTTGTATACATGTTTCAATGAAGAGAAATCGAAAAAGATGATGAAAGTACAAATATTATTTCTACTTTTTAACCAAAAATAAGACTGCAATAGTTCAGATTGCAATAGTTAGGAATATCCCGTTGTGTTACAAGAATATTCCATCTGCATTATTTGTAAAAAATGGAGTGTTATTCGAGTATGATATGGTGTTATTCGATTATTTTGCGGTGCAATTAGAATATTCTCTTGCGTTACTTGATTTAGGGCTGAAGTGTTATTAGAATATTCCCCTGCGTTACTTGATTTGGGGTTGTGTTATCCCAATAACATAGTGGAAATTGAAATAACACGAGGAAAATGTTGAATAACACAGCCCCAAATCAAATAACGTGGGAGAATATTTCAATAACATCACAAAATAATCAAATAACACTTCATTTTTTACAAATAACGCAGTGAAATATTCCTATAACACAGCGGGATATTCCTAACTATTGCAATCCGAACAAAGCTCTACGTTCGGAGTCCTGATGTACTATTTTTCCAGCATCAACACAGTACATAAATTATTTAAGCACTCGAGCAGCAGATCTCTCAAAACAACTTTATGATTTTTGCACCGGTTCATTATCAGCAAAAGAGGGCTTGAAAATAAAGAAGAAAATAAATTACGCTATCCTTTTCCACACCCCTTCTGTGAGAACATCAGCATGGAACTCAACTACACGCTGTCCCATTTGAATTGGCTCCTGGGCTTGCAATACATTGAAAGACTTCAATTGTCTGAGGTCCAGGATTAATGTCCAATTAGCTTGGAGCTCTTTGGGATTGGGAGCCCAATAGGAGTAAATACCTTCTTCAATTACATTTGAAGGGGTGAAATGAGTTTCATTCGGACCTCCTCTTGTGTTAGTGGCAGAAACAATGGCATCCTTAGCTAAATTATGTGAGAAAATGGTTTGTCTCATTGCAGTAAAATTCTGAAGAACCTGAATATCTTCATCAGATATGAGGCCAGATGAATTTGGGGGAACATTTAGTATAAGGAGACAGTTTCTGCCCACTGAAGTGTAGTATTTGTCAAGTAGGGTTATGGGAGACTTGGGGTTTTGAGAACTGTGCCAAAACCAACCGGTCCTGATGGATAAATCGCACTCAGGAGCAACCCAGTCATGCCCATATGGATCCCCCTCAAGAGAATACCTAAGCATAAAAATAGGAAGAGAAAAACTGAAATTAATTTCTCTCATTGACTGAACATAAATATAAGGATGTAGGATGAAGATCTGAAGCAGCAATGTGGCAAAAAATGAAGAAGATATTAAGCAGAATCGTCTGATGAAGCTTTCGTTACATTGGTAAGTAGTCAAACATAAATGGTAAACAGTGAAGCTAAGGGTTGCGATGAAAGCAACCAAAGTCAAAAAAAATAATAGCACGCATTAAATGTTTCATATAAAACATAAAGTTGAATGGTATGCAGTTGTAACAGAGCTCTAATTTGAGACAAAATTACATGGAAACCAGTGAAACATGATGGTGCATGCAACCTTGATTGGCTTCATGAATCCTCATTTGTCATTACTTCTTGATGATTTATGGCTTCGGTATGAAACTTATTCTACACAAAGCAAATTGAATAACTTCGTTGCATATTGCCTAAGGTCTACTCTACCATCATAATACTCCAACCTTAATTTTATTTACACATCCAATGTGTATATTTTCTAAACTTTATTATACAACAGACGTTTAACTTAGGAGGAAAAACTCACGAGTAGGAAGTAATGGAGTACAACCAAGAATATATCACAACCCAGTTACCAGGTAACGTATAAGTCAGATATCTTCTTCCTACATATTAAGAAATTCAATGGAAATTGCAAGATGAAATGTGCTAAATGCAAAATTGAAAAAAAAAAAATTAAACAATTAATGCATAGAATATAGGGCCATAGAGTCTAGCAATAATAACCCAATCATAATTCACGCTTTTTCGGCAACTTCAAAGTCTTCAAAATAAAACTCTCCAAGGAGAGCGATTCAAACAATAAATTATATGAAGATTTACATATATACGACCCAATTCCTATGTATTTACATATGTAGTACCTAAACTTCAATTTTTACATACGGACCATCTTACCTATGCATGAAAAGGTGTGCTTCAGTTTCTAAAAGTTAAAAAGATGATGATTTTGATGAGATATAAAAGATTTGGGTGGTATAAATGTAAAAAAGAAAAGTTTAGGTGTTAGATATGAAAATACACAAGAATAGGGTGGTATGTAAGTAAATGCCACATTATTATATGGTGTGTATGAGGCTTTGTATACATGTTTCAATGAAGAGAAATCGAAAAAGATGATGAAAGTTCAAATATTATTTCTACTTTTTAACCAAAAATAAGACTGCAATAGTTCAGATTGCAATAGCTAGGAATATCCCGTTGTGTAACAGAAATATTTCATCTGCGCTATTTGTAAAAAATGAAGTGTTATTCGAGTATTATATGGTGTTATTCGATTATTTTGCGGTGTCATTGGAATATTCCCCTGCGTTACTTGATTTAGGGCTAAAGTGTTACTGGAATATTCCCCTGCGTTACTTGATTTAGGGCTAAAGTGTTACTGGAATATTCCCCTGCGTTACTTGATTT